CCGCCCCGCAGGAAGAAGAAGAAGTCGAAGGACAAGGCGCGCATCGTGGAGCAGATCGTGAGCAGCAAGAAGCAGGAGGAGGAGAAGAAGCGCGGGCTGGACAAGCGCACCCCGGCGCAGGTGGCCTACGAGAAGATGCAGGAGAAGCGGGTAGGGCCGCCCTGAACGGGCCAGACCCCCCCGGCGGGGCCGGGGGGGGGGGAAAAACCAACCCCGCCCGCGGCGCCGAGGGGCTGCGGGTGCTGGAAGTAACCGGCCTCGTGTGTCTTCCTGCAGCAAATGGAGAGGATCCTGAAGAAAGCCTCGAAAACCCATAAGCAGAGAGTGGAGGTGAGCCGAAAATCCCCATTTCCTCGGGCTGGGCGGTGTTTATCAGGCTGGTCGGGCTAGAGGAACACAGCGGCGCGGAGGCAGAGGGTCTCACAGCTCAACGGCGGTGATGCCAGCACCAAATATTAAAAGTTTTCCTCTCTCTCTCTCCCCCTCAGGACTTCAACAGGCACTTGGATACTCTGACTGAGCATTACGACATTCCGAAAGTCAGCTGGACGAAGTGAACGGCCTGCTTCCCAAGGCTTCGGATCAGGAGTTGTGTTTTGTTTGTATTAAACAGGGTTGCCATGTAAATCTGCGTGTTCCGCGCACTGAATGTTTAATATATCTGCTGAACGTTTGTGACTTTGTGCTGGCTTATTTCATGGAATCATAATATCATATTTCGTTGGTTTGTTTTTTAAATCCAAATATTCAACACAGCCTCTTCTTGGCTGATGAGCTCTGGTTTATAGAGGTGCAGAGGGCTATTTTTTTTTTTAGTGCTTTAAGCAGCATTAAGGCCAAAATCGACTGCTGGAACATGTTCCTTTATTTGTTTAATACCAACAGTTCTCCGTTTGGAAGTGGAGAGTCTTTGACAGCCTCACACAGCATCAGCTTCTCTTGTCAGTTCTAGGAGTTGTATAATTCCCTTTTATCTCGAGTTCTGTCAGGTGGGAGACTGCTGTAACTTGTAAATTCGATGTAACTTTTTATTAAAACGCTGCTTTCGACCTTTTTTTCATCCTGACACCTCTAAAATCAAGGGGCGGGCACAGTCCGTGTGCGGAGTTTCCCCAGTGCCTTTACGATTCCTGCTCCCTTGGAGCGCTGACGCGTTATCTCGATGTTTAAAACCCTAAAACGCCTCTCGATCCCCATCATCATCCTTTTGCCGGCTCCGGTGGGCCCCGGTGCCCCGCGCCTGCCCGGGGGTCCCCCCCCTCGGCCCGGCCA